GGGTGGCACCGCCCACAGTGAGCTGGGCCCTGCCCATCAATCAGTAATCAAGAAAGTGCCCCACAGACTTGCCTACAGGCCAGTTTGATGGAGGCCTTTTCTCAGTTGAGATTCTCTCTTCCCAGATGTGTCTAGGTCTGTGTCAGGCCGACAAAGCCAACCAGTGTGTCTTCTTTAGATGACATTAACATCACTTAACACCCTTGCTTTGTTCTCTTTGGAGAGTTGTGTCGCAGGTGAAGACAGAGGGTCAGGTGGTGGCACTGCGGAGGCCCATGAACAGCACCCAGCTGAAGACACCAGTTGAGCACCTGGGAAGATGGCTGTCACACTTTTCCAGGTCATGTGGGGCACGGAGATGTCTGTGGACTTCACTAAACTCTAACTCTTAAACGACACTCATCAACATTAAGATGTTTCCCTTGCCTTGGTTTTGTTTCATGTTTGGTAGCACTGGGATCAAACCCAGGGCCTTGCGCACTCTTAAGTCTGGCGCTCTCTACGGCTGACCTATATCCCCAGGCCTCCCTTCTCGGTCTTTAATGGATGATCTTTTCCCAAAGCAGGCATCTGCATAGGCCCTTGTCCCGACAGTAAAAGCGCCAGGAGAAGCCTCCTCTAGCTTAGCTGTCTTCTGAAGACAGCAGGTTGCCTCTGAAGAGGTGTGTGTCCGATACAACTTGATTTCAGAAGTCACTCTAAGTTACAGGTAGAGTGAGTCCCCAGCCTTCGCTTCCTTTGTTCTGGTGTTGCAGAGTCATTTTCCCATTAGAATACTTGAATTCTGTCCACAGGTTGTGTAGTTCACACGATGTTTTCCATGGATTTAACACATTGATCTAGGCTTTGTACAGCATGGTGCTTCCCTTCCTGATTATGATAAGACATTCCACCTTTCTCACAAAATATTAGAGTGCGTCCTTCTCTAGTAAATGTGGGAATCATGGATTGGTTGTTTGGCCCCGTTCTTGTCCACGCACTTCCTGTTGTTGTCGGCCTCTCACAGAAACTCCTTCCATAAGATCTGTCTGCTTGAACAGGGCTTACTCTGGAGAATTCAAATTAAGCCTTGCATGCTAAAAGAGCCGCTTACTCAGCCATTAGTATTTTTTAAAGGTTTTTTTTTTGTTGTTACAAAATAAATGTGAAAAGTTTTTTAAATTATGTTATTGTTGCTCTGGAGATGTATGTGCTTAAATGCTCAGCCTGACAGTTAACTTTTTCTCTTTGCCAAATCTACACAAGAGGTCTCCATGCGGATGAGAGGCCAGATTGGCACTGCCTTTTGTTTGCCCTGGAACAGGGTAAGTGTTTGGGGCCTGTGGAGTGAGAAACTGCCCTTCAGGGATCTCAGTGACCCCAGCCTTCGGGGACTGCAGTTCTGTCTGTCTGTTTGTCCACTCCCTACCTGCTGCTCTGGACTAGAGACGCCTGAGACTCAACTCAGATGACTGTGGGATCCACAGCATGCGGAGCCGGGAAGGCACAGCAGGGAAGGAAGTCTGCAGTGGCCTCACGCGTGTTCCTCCCAGCAGGCTAACAGAGTGTTTTTTCTGTTGCTTTGTTTGGTTTTAGGAAAACACTTTTCTCTGACCGGTCCTAGCTGTTGATAAATGTTCTGTCATTCTGGTTAGGAGAAGGTAGTGACGACTGCTGGCCCCGTGCTCCAGCTCTGCGGCTTAGACTTCTTCTCTAAAGGAATGGTTTTCCTGGATGGCAGGCTGATTGGAAGATGTCAGAAACATTCTCAAATGCTGCCTATGAGATGCTTAGCATTTTCTGGTATTATGCACTTCCACATAAATGTCCCTGCTGTGTGAATAGAGACTTCTCATAGTCTGCTCCATCCTGGTAGTTATATGATGTCAGAGGCCTGCGTGGGTCAGGCTGGCCTTCTCCAGTGAAGGGTTATGGTGTTTGGAGCTACCAGGATCGTTCTGCATGGACACATCCATCAGACCTGATGTGCTCTGGTGAGATGGGCCCTTTCCTATTGGTTCTGGGTACTTCTTTCCTTATTTCTCTGCCTTAGTCACATCTTACGGGGTATGTATTTCCAGGCTTGATTTGAACTGGTGCTGTAAGTCAGGCTGTAAAGCCCCTAAGCAAGTCTCCTCTGCTGGGGATGCCATCAGTGCACTCAGCATCCCTGCTGCTCAGGCAGGTCCAGCAGAGATTGCTGCCCCCCGTGGGGGCCAGACCCAGTGGAAACTGTTGTTCAAGCTTACTAACTTTTGTATTCATGACTATAGAATTGGTAACAAAAGTATGTATTGTAGACTTCGATGTTTACATAACTCTTTCCCCAAAGCTTTATTTTCTTGGGTCACAGGTCAAAATTTAAGGAAACAAGATGTTGTGTGAATGAATTAAATGAAATATCATTATAATTCATAAGGTGGTAAATTTTAATCAAATTGCAATTTGTTTGTAATTGTGAATTTGCTTGTACTTAATGGTTATTAATCTTTTCATTGGATATCTTTTTTGAGTAAAAACAATAAACAGTGTATGCGTAAAAGTGGAGAATGCTCTTCATTGCATAAGCAAGCCTTGAGTATGTGATGTCAGTCAGAGCTGCTTCCTGTGATCCCCTGAGGGTCTCGGTGTTAGCTCAGCATCACCTCTCACAACAGGTTTTGCCACGTGTCTCCGTTGCTGCTCTGGAAGAAAGGCATTTTCCAGTGTGTTACTCCTCATCTGAGCCCTGAGAAGAATTCCCTGGGTCCTAGATGTTTGTATGTGTATACACGTGTATAATGCTATTAATTTATGCCAATTTAGTAAAATTATCCTGAGTCCAAATAATTCCTGAAGCTTCTGTAGGATGAGCTTGAATTTTACAGTCTGATTGTTACTTAAAGCAGCAAAATCTAGACATCAAAATATGGAGGCAGAGCCAGCAAGGCCTTAAGTCTCATGCCTTTCCAGTCATGTGTTCCTTCCTCTGATGACAACAGAAGGCAGACATAGTATTTACAGTGTCTGCTCCGGCCGGCCAATGTAAGTGCTCTGCTGAAATCATCTCATCTCCCCATCTTGAGAGCCCATGGTGGCTGTTCCTCTCACTGTGCAGGGTAGGCTGCTGAGGCAGCGTAGGACACATAGCTGGTATGATGAGCATCATGATAATCACCCCGAGTCGCTACACCTGGTGATGGTTTGTAGAGGACACTAGTTCATGAGAAAACAGGCTTTTGGCGTTGCCAATAGGGAGCTAGAGCTAGTTTGATTCTTAAAACTGAAGAACCATAATTCTCATAGGCAGACTTGATGTTCGAATGCTTGAGTTTACATACCTGCTTCTCTTCTGAGCTAGATTGGGAAAGCTTTGTCAGAGCTGTGTTTGAAGGCATTGATGATGTTTGCTGACAGAGTCACGTATGTATGGGTCACGTATGTCTCATGGTTGGTGCTCAGCTGCATGTTTCAAGGGAATGGCTGGTCTGATGCAGGGAAGCTTGCTTCTTCAGGAACCTTAGGGTTCCCAGCCTGTGGTTCTGTGGTCAGTTACAGGGCCTTTAGCACCCAGACAAGGTGTCTGGTCATCCACAGATTACCACGATTGTACATGGAATGCTAATGTATTTACACATGTGGGTCTTAAAGATTAACAACCTACTGATTCCGTTGCGCAGCCCAAATCCCTGCACAAGCTCTAAGAACACAGGGTGTTTTGCCTTTAGTAGCTGCAGGGAAGTGAGTTTTCATTACTTAGTGTGAGTCGGCCCTGACCTTAACTCACAGAGGTTGAGAGCAGGAAGTTTTTAGGTGCTCAGTACTGCAGCAACTAAGAGTAAGAATCAGCACATGGACTTCCCACAGGAAACACTTCAGACCATCCCCAGCCCTTCCTGCCAGGCGCCTTGGCATTTGAGCTTTGCAAGCTAAGGTACTGCCTTCCTGGGAAGGTGCAATGAGAATGCTTGCCTCATGAGCACCAAGCACCAGATCCCATCCTCGGCACTACAGACTCTGGATGTGATGACATCCACTTGCCTCCCTAGCATTCAGGATGTGGGCGCAGGAGAATCAGGAGTTCAAGGTTGGCTACATACTGAGTTCAGGGACACATGAGGCCCTGTTCCCTCCTCCAAACAGAAAAGAAAGCAACATATATTGTACGAGGCCAGCTCCCACCTTTTAAAAGGTTTCTGTAGCTAGAGTTTTCCTGCCTTGCCCACAGGACAAATCTGTCACCCCAGTCCCACAGCCACTCAGACCCAACCAAGTAAACACAGAGACTTATATTGCTTACAAACTGTATGGCCGTGGCAGGCTTCTTGCTAACTGT